TGGGATTTGTGAGTACACCCCAACCCACTAGAACATTCACAACCTAAACTAGGATATAAAAGTACAAATACAAAAGTGGTATTTGCAGTCTGTTTCTAACACTATTAGCCCTCTCAGCAACGCCATTTGACTGAGGGGTATAGGATGTCGTTAGCCGATGCTCAATGCCTTGTTTCTTGAGCCACGCAGTCAGATCTACTCCCAGATACTCTCAACCTCGGTCGGTTCTAATGCTGTTGCACGGGCGCCCAGATTGTTGCTCGATGAACGGCAGCCAGTCATCTCGTATTGTTGAGGCAGCGTGATCCTTCTGCTTCAATCGGTATGTCCACATCAGCCGACTCCAGCCATAAAATTTTGTAGAATGGGGCTTAAGTAGAGAGGGGCTGAAGCCCAGCCCGGCCCAACTTTGGTCGGCACGCCTCCAAAACGGGGCAGGCGGGCCAGGCCATGGCATGGCCGGGCCAAATTTTAGAAATTTCTGGCCCGGGCCGGTTTAATGGCCGGGCCAGCCTATGATATTAAATGGGCCAAAGTCAGGCTGACTGGCCTGCCCCGCTTATGAAGCTGTAAACTGCAGTAAACATGTGGAATTGTCACTGCAGGCTTACTAAGAGCACTGGGCACAAGTTGCAGCGTGCTGCCATGGATTTTAGCCGGCCTTTTCAATGCTCCCATTAAAAAAACACCACCACCGCTTGCCCGTGCCCTACCTGTCCCCTCTCGAGATACATATGCTATCCACCACCAAACGTGCACTTGCCATCTCAATCTTCCCTCTATATAATCACACCACCACCCTTACACCGTCCTATCCCCCCTCTATTGAAGAAAAAACAGCACCTCGTGCACCAGCCCTTCCTCTCCACCCTCCTCATAATCATACCACTACCCCATACGCCTGCCGTTCGAGTCCCCTCTCCATATAGCCATGATACCAACCCATGTAGTCGAACATGCAGAATGTATCCCTCACCCTCACCCTGTCGTCACACCGCCACCCCTTGCACCTGCCCTTCAAAACCCCCCTCCTCCTCCTGGGATTTGCTGCCCCACTTGCTAACCCTCCTAGATGTAGTCACACACCTACATGTTGCACACCTGCCATTCTATTCCCCCCTCCTTATATCACATCACCACCCCTCGCACCTGCCCTTACGATCCCCCCTCTTTATAGTCACACCATCATTCCGTCCCTTGCCTTTCCAATCTCCCCTCCTTATAATCGCACCACCAGGGTTTCCTGCCCCCCTTCCTTTCACCCTTCATATAGTCACACCATCACCTCTTTACTCTTCACTTCCTATCCCCCCTCCTGATGGTCACACTAGGATCCCTTGCGCTTGCCATCCAAAAAGCCCCCACTGATCCTCACACCACCAGGATTTTCTTCCTCCGTTCCTTTCCTCCTCCCCTCTTTGCTGTTGTTTCAGCATGCAGTGCGTGTCACAAAGACAACCAAATCACGTTTTGTTGGAGTGGGTGCGTTACGATCCAAGTGGCAGGCCAAGATGTCATATAGAAACAAGCAGATCTGCCTTGGCACCAGGAGCACCCTGGAGGGGGCAGCCAAGCTGTCTGCTGTTTGAGGCTTCACCTTTGTGTTGTTCTCAGCTGCGTCAGCTGCTCCAGGTGGTGCGCTGTCACCTCTCAGTGGCGTTGGCCTTCTGGCTTGTGGCAGCGCCATCATGGGTTACATCAACCTAGCCTCCATTTATGCAAGCTCATTTTTATACAAATTCCAGGGCAAAATCCAAGCTCCAAGGCTCCAACGGACCATTCAATATAGGCATTTCGGAGTTGGAGAAGAAAGTCCTCAACGCCATATCAAGGCTGCATTTCTGGGAGTCTCTGGCTGAAGAGAAGCGTGGGTTCAAGGAGGATCGTAGACCATCGCTGTGACACACTGGAATCGGGTGGTTACAAGTGATGATTGCATTGCATAGCTATGTTGAATTTGTTATTTGCTCCCCCGCTCTCTCACTTCCCCTGGCTCATGTGTATTCTTGTTTGCTTTCAGGTTTGGCTGATACAGAGGACGGATCAGGTGGCCCGGAGTTGGATGAAGAGGAGGAAGAGGTGGGAGATGAATGCGAGAAGGAAGGGGGTGGGAGCAGGGACAAGAAGAGGAGAAAGAGCGTGGGGGACAAAGCTGAAAGAGTGGGCGAAGAGGTTCTGAGGGTAAAAAGCGGAGAATACGTGCTGGCACTGGAGGGTCGACTGAAGATGAGGAAGGTAGGAAGAGAGGAGGAGGAAGGGGCGCTCGAGAGAAGAGAGGAGGGGGTGTTTGAGAGAGGGGAGGGGGAGCAGGGGGTGCGTGAGAGAGGAGAAGAAGAGGATGTGCATGAGAGAGGAGACGAGGTGGGGGGGCTTGGGAGAGGGGAGAAGGAGGGGTTGCGTGAGAGAGGAGAGGAGGTGGGGGTGCATGAGACGGTAGATGAGGAAAGGGTGCCTGAAAGAGGGGAGAGGGAGGAGGGGGTGCTTGAGCGTGAGCGAGGAGAGAGGGAGGGGCTTTTGAGAGCAGAGGAAATGGGTGGGAGTATGCAAGGGGTGGTGGTGAAGGATGCGGCATCCGGTTGTGCATGTAGAAAGCCGCTTGAGAAGAGTCATGCTGATGACGCTGACATGAAGGACCAAGAGTACGAGGTGCGTCGTGCGATGGGAAAGTGAGAGCGAAAGTATAAAACTGTCACTTCCTCGTTCTTTTGCTACTGCATTCCGCTGCCATGCAGCTACCATGTTGGCATCTCCAAGCAGCTGCTTCCCTTTCCTCCATCACCCTTGGAGGTTTCGTTAGCAAGATCAGCTACCATGTTGGCATCTCCAAGCAGCTGCTTTCCTCATTTTTTTCTTTTGTGACTGGTTCCACGGGGTCCACTAATCGGGCTTGGTAGAGCAGCGAAACCATGGATCCCCTTCTTCCTTACAATACCAGCACTCTCCATTCAAGCATGGTTTATTGTTGTCATTGTTGGAGCGACCACCTCTTCCAAATCTGCCACCCCTTCCTCTTGCACCAGCTCCATCACGACCCCGCTGGTTCCAAGTCCCGCAACCACCTTGGTTGTCGTAAGAGCGACCGCGATTGCCACGTCAACGATCCCTCTATTTACCTTGCATGGCAAGCCGCTGGTGCTATCATCACTTCCGCGTAGTTGACAGTGACGAAAATCTTCTTCTAGAATCTTGGTGCAGATCCAAACCAATGTCCACTGACTTTGGTTCAGTGGCAAGCTGAGTCCGCTTGTAAATTGTAAACAAGACTCGGGCAGCAGGCTGAGCATCTTGAGGCACTCGGTCTGCTTAGGGTACATGATGCCCACGATTGCCAGTTTCGCATAGAGGTCCCCCATCTTGTCCAACACGGGCTGCACCGGTTCATTCTCGCTCAACCACAGCGTGGACAGCTCCCTATCCAGCATGAGGGTAGTGGCAACCGATGTCGGAGCGTGCAAGTCCTTGAGCACTGCCCATGCCTTGGGCCCACAATCAGTTTCCGGTAGCAGATGCATGATGTGATGCCTCTGGTTCAGCTCCAAGCTTTGTGACAGTAGATAGTACCCAGCAGATGAACGTTCATCCCAGTCCGTTTGCTCTGCCATTTCCTTTGGCCTTGCCTCCATTCCAATCATGAGATTCAAGAGGTCAATTTGTCGAAAGTAGAGCTGCATCTTCCATGCCCAATCATCATAGCCATCTCCAGAGAACTTCTCAACGGTGAAGTTTTTCAGCACCTCCTTAAGCAATGACCCCTGGCTTGTACACGCTCCCCTTTGCGTTGGAATGCAAGAATCTTGGATTGAGCTGCCTCCTTAGGCTGAACTTTCACGTTCGCCAGAGTCCTCCTTATCTCCCTTCGTAGTTTAGGTCTAAAAATGCGTGATATTGTGCTCTGATACCAGCTGTTAGTGAGAGAAGGCTATTAGCAGATGATATCACAACTCCTTGGAAATTTCTGCAGCACTTCGTTATGACGCCCAGAAACTCGCGACCCTCGGAAAGCTGTCTGTAAAAATCCAATCCGTGAAACGATCTGAAAGTTGAATATGTTGTAGCTTAGAAGTTCAGCTTTCCAATGCAAGCTGAATCACTCGATTCTGTAATCTAGCGAGCGAGCTCTCACCTTTGGCGCATTGGGGTTTAATCTGCAATGGGAGAAATTAGCAGTCCTCAGAGTCACAATTATTGAAGCTGCAAGTTCAAAGACATCATGGACACATTGAAGCACAGTTGGAAGATGGGGAAGGAAGGGAAAGATAAAAAGGAAGGACCCAGGAGGCCCTTGGTCAAGAATATGACAAGAGTCAAAGTCTTGATCCTCTTGTCCAGCCAACCAATCCTCAGGTTCAACCAGCCTGGCAAGACAAAATCCCCACTGTGCATATTGTGCCAAGTTGGCATCCAACCCCAAATGCTGCAGCGGCAAGGTGCAAGACCCACACATGTTGGTTCCTCCTCCTTATAGGGCGCTCCAACTTTGGTATAGCAGCTTCTGTTTGTTAGAATATACCATGCTATGCTAGTTGTGTATATTGTGTTTACATCCCTAGTTGGGTGTACACCTGTGTTGGGGTGTCAATCCAACCCAATTGTGGTTGGAGCCCCCAAACACAAGGACCACAATTGTGGGGGCACCACAAGTGGGTTGGCTAAACCACTGGTGGTACACCACACTTGGACCACCTCCAACTGGTGGTCAACCACATTTGGAAGGATCCTCCCTCCCTTGTGATTGGTCCTAACCCCCCCTTCCCTTCCAACCTTCCCTTCCTAGCTCATCTCTCTCTTCCTATGTAATGCCTTTGCCTCATCAATAAACTCAACCTTTCTGTTTCTAACATGGTATAGAGCAATAATGGCTCACGCCAACTTTTAAATCCCGATCCTTCCCCACGCTTCCGCCCCGTCCCCTTCCGACGTGCACCTCATTGCCGTCCCCTCCATCGCCGCTGCTAGACTCCTAGCCGCCGCCTCTCAACTAGTTTTCTGTTGGGTGGATTTTCAAAAACCCCCAATGCGCCAAACACCATAGCTCGCTCGATAGTTCACAGAATTGAGTGATTCGACTTGCAAAAGAACGCTCTTGGTGTCAGCTACAACGTCGTAAACTTTCGGACTGTTTCATCGCTTGGATTTTCAGATATCGCTTTCCGAAGTTTGCACACTTTCCTGGATGTGATCACGAAGTGCTACTGAAATTTCTACCAAGTCCTATTTTCATCAGCTAACTGCCATCTTTCCCCATCTTTTGCCTCCTCACCTGCACCTGCTCATCGCCGCCTTACCACTGCTGCAGCCATAGCAGCAGCAGCACCAGAAGGAGCAGCAGACTCAGCAGCAGCAGCACCAGCAGCAGTAGCAGCAGCAGCAGCAGCAGCTGAAGGAGCAGTAGCAGCAGCAGCAGCAACAGCGGCAGCAGCAGCAGTGGCAGCAGCAGCAGCGTCAGCAGCAGCAACAGCAACAGCAGCAGCAGCAGCAGCAGAAGGAGCAGCAGCAGCAGCAGCAGCAGCAGCAGAAGGAGCAGCAGCAGCAGCAGCAGCAGCAGCAGCAGCAGCAGCAGCAGCAGCAGCAGCAGCAGCAGCAGCAGCAGCAGCAGCAGCAGCAGCAGCAGCAGCAGCAGCAGCAGCAGCAGCAGCAGCATATCTACAGCCATCCCCATCCTCCCCTCCTCTTTGAGCCGCCGCGGATCCACCCACCGCCGCTCCCTCCCGGCCACCGCGGGTCCACCCGCCGTCGCCTTCCTCCCACTCCGTGTCACCAATGGCATCCTTTCCCCCTCCCGTCGACGTCTCGACCCTCGATCATCTCGTGCGCGCTGCCGACAACTCAGCAACCAACTGGTATTCCTTCGTCGGCAGCCTCCACCGCGTCCTCGGCAGTGCTTATGTCCTGCCGTTCCGCCTCCTGGACATCATGCTTGGTCTCCCAGAGGGTGACCTTGGGGACCCGCCGCCTCACCCTGGCGATCCCCCCCCTCTCATTCCCCATCCCGGCGAGGAACCTCCGCCCCCCATGGTACCCGTTGGCACCAGCACTCGCGCTGCCACCGCTGAAGTTGAGCAGCTCTTCCTTACTCAGCGTCGTGAGTTCATCGTGCTCCATACTGATTACCTGATCGCGTTGGAGGAACACGAGCGGTCGGCGACCCTCTGCACCCAGCATGCCGCTACCGCCGCCGCTTATGCCGCTGACTCTGCGCGATTTGCTGAGCGTCGTCGCGCCTGGCTCGAGGCGGACAGCCGTGCTACTGGTGCCCTTCTCCTTGCCATCCCGTCTGCGCTCATGCGCAACTTCCAGGCACGTCGCATCGGCTCCCGCCAGATCTGGCTCGAGCTTGAGGCAATGTTCGAACGCACCGACTTCGATGCTGTCGGACCGCTCTTCAAGGAATACTTCAGCATCACGATCGAACACAGTGCTGGCGCCGTTGACTACACCAGCCGTCTCCTGGACCTTGCCTTCCGCCTTGAGGCTCGCCAGACTACTCTCCCCCCCAACCTTCAGATCTACCGTCTCCTCGAAGGCCTCTCCCCTCAATATGAAGTGCGCGTCATCGCCTTCACTGAGGCTCAGCCCCGCGCCTCCCTTGACACTGTGGTCCAATGGATCATTGACGCTGAGGCCCGCCTTCTCTCAACCCCCCCCTCCGGCCTGAACTCCACCGAGTCCCAAAACCCCCAGCTTGCAGTCACACAGCCGCGTCGTGGCGGGCGCCCACGTGGCGGCCGCACCAACCCTCAGGGAGGGGGTGGAGGTGGCGGTTGTGGGGGCAGCGGAGCCGGCGGCGGTGGTGGCGGGGTCGAGGGTGGCAGCAGTGGTGGTGGTGGAGGCAGTGGTGGCTCATCTGGTAGCCGTGGTGGCCGCCCTGGCACTCTCCCCCCATGTTCCTATCTTCGCCGTTTTGGTCCCAGGGCGGGTGAGCGCTGCACCCAAACCAACCATCCCCCCGCGACCTGCTTCAAGGCGTATGATGACGCCTGGTTCGAGCGCGGCAACACTGGCACACCCCCACGCTGGTCTGCCATGGATCCCCGCCCCTCTCTCCAGGATGTCAAAACTCTTCCGTCTTTTCTCCCCTCTCATCTTCAGCTCTCCTCCTCCTCCTCCTCTGTCGCTGACCCCATAACTCCCCAGGAGCTGCAGCAGTTTCGCCGCTTCCAGCAGCTGCAGCTGCTGCAGCAGCAGCAGCAGTGGGGCTCTGGTGGTCAGGCTGCAGCCGCAGCTGCAGGAGCCGCAGCCGCAGCATCTGCATGGCAGCAGCAGCAGCTTGGCTTTGGCACCGCCGCCATGGCTGCCACAGCCACACCAGGTCCTCCTGGCTTTCCCCTCTGGGGCTCTCCTTCCCCTAGTGCTCCCGCCTCCCACTCCAGCTTTCTAGGCGAGCTCATGCGTTCTTCCCCTGCTTCCACTTCCATGTATCCCTCTGTTTTTAATGCCAGTGATTTCCAGTACCCCGTGTCTTCAGCTCCCTCCTCGCTCACGATTGACTTTGTTCTCGATAGTGGTGCCACTGAAACTGCCCTCAAAGACGCCGGCACCCTCACCTCCCTCCCTTTCCCCACCAACGTTCATGGTGCTGATTCCAGCTTCTCCATCCCTTGCACTCATCTCTCCACCCTCCCCTGCCCCCCCTTCCCCTCTGGAGTGGTCACTGGTCTCCACATTCCCTCCCTTCGTCATAACCTGCTCTCCATTCGTGAACTCCAACAGGCTGGCATCACTACCCTCTTCCCCGCCTCTGCCACCTACTGTGACCTCCTCCACGGCCCCACTCGCCGCCTCCTTCATCGCCTCCCACTTTGCCCTCGCTCTCGTCAGTACATCCTCCGCACACCCCGCCCCTCCTCATGCCACGTGACCACTCGTGCAGGCACCTCCACTCTCCCCCCTCCCCTCCCTCTAGAGCCACCTTCCTCCAACTCCACCTCCTCCCCATGCTCTTGTCGCGCACTGTCCCACCCCGCTGTTCTCATCCACCACCGCCTTGGTCATATGAACTTTCCCACACTTCGTAAAGCCGTCTCCTCCCGCTTGCTTGACGGTCTTCCCCCCACTCTTCCTCCCCTCCCGTCCTCTTCCGCTCCCCCATGCGCCACATGCATTCATGGAAAGCTCAAACAACAGCCTCACCTCAGTCATCCTTCCTTTGCTGCTGCCCCCCTTGACCTCGTCCACATGGACCTCTGGGGCCCTAACCCTTCCCCTTCCCGCCAAGGGCACCGGTACATGCTTGTCCTAGTCGACAACCACAGCAGGTACTCCTCGGTGTTCCTCCTCCACACAAAGGCCGAGGCCCCTGCTGTCATCGTTACCTGGGCCGAGCAGTGTCGAGTCCACTTTGGTCGCCCCATCCGCCGCCTCCATTCCGACGGCGGTGGTGAGTTTCTCAACCGCACCCTCTCCTCCTACTGCTCAACCCATGGCATCCAGCAGACTCATACCCTTCCCCACTCCCCTCAGCAGAACGGTGTTGCTGAGAGTCGCATTCGTGAGATCACCAAGACGGCCCGCTGCCTCCTCACTCATGCCTCCACGCCCCCTTCTCTTTGGGGCTATGCCCTTGTCCATGCTGCTCTCCTTACTAATCTTTACCCACATCCTCAACGCCAGTCTGTCACTCCCACTGAGCTCTGGGCTAGCACCAAGCGAGATGCTGCCATTCTCCGTATCTGGGGTTGCAAGGCATATGTCCTCATCCCCCCACCTGACCGCTCTCGGCAGGCAGGAAAGCTCGCCTCCAAGGCCATTGAGTGTGTCTACCTTGGCCACGCTCGCTCTGCCCCTGGTTACCTCTTCCTTCACCCGTCCTCAGGCCGCCTCCTACAGAGCCGTGACGTGGTGTTCGATGAGAGCATCCCGTTCTATCATTCTGTTCCGCCTTCCGACCCCCTTCCTCCTCTCTCCCGCCCCCTCACCTGGGCTGATGCTGTCATTCCCCCACTCCTTCCCCAGGCTCCCCTCCTTCCTCCAAATTCTGCTCCTCCCCCTCCTCCTTCCTCAGGTGACATTTACGACCCAGCTGTCCCTGACTCCCCTGCTCACTCTGCTCACCCTGCTCACTCCCCTGCTCACACCAGCACCAGCAGCAGCAGCAGCAGCAGCAGCAGCAGCAGCAGCAGCAGCAGCAGCAGCAGCAGCAGCAGCAGCAGCAGCAGAAGGAGCAGCAGCAGCAGCAGCAGCAACAGCAGCAGCAGCAGGTGCAGCAGCAGCAGCGGATGGAGCAGCAGCAGCAGCAGCAGCAGCAGCAGCAGCAGCAGCGGATGGAGCAGCAGCAGCAGCAGCAGCAGCAGCAGGAGGTGCAGCAGCGGATGGAGCAGCAGCAGCAGCAGCAGCAGCAGGAGGTGCAGCAGCGGATGGAGCAGCAGCAGCAGCAGCAGCAGCAACCGCAGGCAGTGCAGCAACAGCAGCCGCTGCAGGAGGTGCAGCACCAGCACCAGCAGCAGCCACAGCAGCAGCAGCAGCAGCAGCATCAGCCACTGCAGCAACCTCATCGGCATCGCTGCACCACCTCTCCGTTCATCCTCCCACGCATCCACACTCGCTCTCACGGCCCACTCATAGGCCATCCATGGGGTTGGCCAACACCACCCCCACCCTCCCTTCCCTTCATTGAGGACTCCCATGAGGAGCTCATTGGCGTTCAGAAACAAACACCTTCCCTCACGCCTCTCTACCCGGGCTTCGTTGGCCTCCTCATCCTTGGCATCGCTACCGCTCCCACCAGATTCACTCCGTCCAACTTCCTTGAGGCCATCACCTGCCCCGATGCTGCCAAGTGGATCCAGGCTATCTTTGCTGAATGCGAGGCCTTCATCCGCAATGCCTCATTCGTTAACATTGTCCCCTCTCCTGACGACGTCATTGTTGAAGGCCTGTGGGTGTTCCGAGTGAAGCAGCTGCCGGGTGAGGAGCCGGTCTACAAGGCCCGGTATTGTGCCAAGGGCTTCACCCAAACCCATGGCATCGACTACTGGGAGACATTCTCTCCCACTGCCAAGCTCCCAACTCTCCGTGCCATCCTCGACTATGCTGTTCGCATTGGCATGGAGATTGCCTCCATGGATGTCTCCAACGCCTTCCTGCAAGGCGAGCTCCAGGAGCGGGTCCTCTTGCGGCGGCCTCCAGGCTTTCATGCAGCCTTCCCTGCCAACACAGTCTGGGAGCTGCGCCGCCCGGTTTATGGCCTCAAGCAGGCTCCTCGCGAGTGGCACAACAAGCTGGCCGCCACTCTGCAGTCCTTGGGGTTCCATGCCTCTCAGTCTGATGCCAGCCTTTTCCTTCGCTCCTCTCCCACCCGCTTCTTCATCCTGGTGTATGTCGACGACATGATCCTGTTCGCCGACGATGCTGCTGCCATGCAGCAAGTGAAGGACGCCCTGCATGCGCGCCTCAAGTGCAAGGACCTGGGTGAGCTCAAGCACTATCTGGGCATGACCATCACCCGGGACCGCACATCGCGCACCATTACCCTCTCTCAGTCCTTCTACATCGACCAAGTCTTGCAGCGGTTCGACATGGCGCAGGCGAAGCCGGTTACCACTCCCCTGCAGACCGACCACCAGCTTGCCCCTCCTCCTGCTCCCTCCTCCTCTGACCATCCTTACGCTGAGCTCGTCGGCTCGCTGATGTACGCTATGATGTGCACCCGCCCCGACCTTGCCTACCCCATCAGTGTTCTTGCTCGATTCGTCGGTACCGGTCGCCACACTGATGAGCACTGGGCTGCAGCGAAGCGGGTCCTCCGCTACCTCCGTGGTACCAAGGACTATGTCCTCACCCTCGGAGGCTCTTCTCCTCCCCTCCTCTCTGGCTTCAGTGACTCCTCCTGGGCTGACTCCCAGCCGGATCGCCGTTCCTCTCAAGGCTACGGCTTCACCCTTGGCAGCGGCCTCATCAGCTGGCGCTCCACTTGCTCCTCCTCCATCGCCCTCTCATCCTGCGAGGCTGAGCTCTATGCTTGCACCATGGCCGCTCAGGAGGCTCGCTGGCTCACCTTCCTCCTTGCTGAGATCGGTGCTCCTCAGCGCTGTCCCACCCTCTGGTGCGACAACGCCAGCACCATCCATCTCACAAAGGACCCTGTCTTCCATGGCCGCTCCAAGCACATTGAACTCCGCTACTTCTTCGTTCGAGAGTTGGTCCAGCAAGGTCACTTGGTGGTCCGCAAGATCGCTGCAGAGGCCAACTTGGCCGACATCTTCACCAAGGCCCTCCCGAAGACCGCGCACTCTGCCCTCCTCCGCCTTCTCGGCCTTGGGCCCCGCCCCCCTTCCTGATTCTGGGGTTGTACCCTACATATACACTAGCTTTGCATGCTATGGGGTTGTGTTAGAATATACCATGCTATGCTAGTTGTGTATATTGTGTTTACATCCCTAGTTGGGTGTACACCTGTGTTGGGGTGTCAATCCAACCCAATTGTGGTTGGAGCCCCCAAACACAAGGACCACAATTGTGGGGGCACCACAAGTGGGTTGGCTAAACCACTGGTGGTACACCACACTTGGACCACCTCCAACTGGTGGTCAACCACATTTGGAAGGATCCTCCCTCCCTTGTGATTGGTCCTAACCCCCCTTTCCCTTCCAACCTTCCCTTCCTAGCTCATCTCTCTCTTCCTATGTAATGCCTTTGCCTCATCAATAAACTCAACCTTTCTGTTTCTAACACTGTTGACTTTCAATAAGTCGTAACAAATCCATCATACGTTTCTTCGTAACTTCTTCATATGTGCTCCAATTCCAACAAATCTTGGTTCGTAGGACTGTGCTCGATGTCATAGACAATCCAAACACATCCACCCAATCACAAGATGAACATGCAAAGACATGCAAACCCAACAAACCATACAAACAACGTTGCATAGATGACAGGATGGCGTCCAAACGAATATGCACCAAAACAAAGTACCGATGACTGCCTTGTAATGCGACTGGAGCTGGGCCCCATACCTCCATGTGCACTAGGTCCAGCGGATCAGCTGCAATAGATGGGTGCGGCTGCTGCCTGAGCTTGCTCTTGGTGCAGTCCATGCACATACAGGTGAGTCTGTTGTTGGAGGAAGCACCGATGGGAGGCCAAGAAGAAGTTTCTTGGAAGCGATGTCAGGAAGCGTGCGGAAGTTGGGGTGACCCAAGCGATGGTAGTACAGGATGATTGGGTTGGTGAAGCTGCGACAGAAACAGGGAGTGGTGTTGGTAGCTTACACTCGGGAGAGGGTGGCGTGAGGTGCAGGTGAGCGCAGCGTGTAGAGCTTGCTGCTATTGCGTATGAAGCCTGCTAGGAGCTTGTTGGACTAAGGGTCGAGGAGGTCACAGTAATCCGAGTGTGCTGGATAGATTGTGGTGGCACCAGCCCATTGGAGCTCCTGTTGGGCCACAAGATTGTGGCGTAGTGTGAGAACACACATGCTGGTGACACTGTCCGAAGGGAAAACTGGGCACGGAACTGTGGAGGGGCCTTCAACGTGTGTTTTGAAACTGGAGTCTGCTCCTAGAAGAGGGATTGGCGTCTCGTATGGATTAAAGGAGTGTTCTTCCTTGAGAACTCTGTGAGTGGCCCCACTGTCGAGGGTGAACTCTATTGTGGCTGAGGTGCTTTGTGAGCCGAGTCACTGCGAAATCATCTCATTAATCCTGGCAATGCCATTGAAGAACATGTTAAGGCACACATCAGTAGGAGGAGCTACAGCAGCCTGCGCGGATTCCTGCGCTTCGACTTGATTGACCTTGCGAGGAGCACAACTGACCATCCAGCTTGGCGGCTTCGAGGCTGTCCTATTGACGTCATACCACTCGTCATCCTTCTTCTTGAAGCAGGAGGCGAGGGCGTGGTTGGTGCCGCCATACACCTGGCCGGCACGAGGGCCATGCTTGATGACGTAGGGATACGGGGGGAAGCGGTTGTGCTGGAATGGTGCCGGAGGGGCATAGGCTTGAGGCACGGGAGTGCAGATTGCATTGGCCTTGGCTTGAGTGCTGTTGTTCTTTTCGACAGAAAGGAGCGCGGATGAGACCTTGGCAAATGTGAGGTCCGCAGGAGCAAGGCCCAAGAGCATCTTGCGTGTGACTTTGTATGCCAGAGTGAGGCCGACTAGGAGAACAGCTGCAGGGGCTTGCTCGGCTGCAGGAACGCCATTTGGCTCTACCTCATAGTCTTCCCCGAGCAAGCCCCTGCAGCCGCTCTCCTAGTCGGCCTCACTCCGGCATACGAAGTCACACGCAAGATGCTCTTGGGCCTTGCTCCTGCAGACCTCAGATTTGCCATGTTCTCATCTGCGCTCCTTTCTGCCGAAAAGGACAATAGCGCTTGCCAAGGCCAATGCAATCCGCGCTCCCGTGCCTCAAGCCTATGCCGCTTCGGTGCCATTCCAGCGCAACCGCTTCCCCCCGTGTCCCTACGTCATCAAGCGCGGCCCTCGTGCCGGCCAGGTGTGTGGCGGCACCAACCACGGCCTTGCCTCCTGCTTTAAGAAGAAGGATGACGAGTGGTATGCCGTCAATGGGACCGCCTTGAAGCCGCCAAGCTGGATGGTCAATCGTGCTCCTCGCCAAGTCAATCAAGTCGAAGCGCAGGAATCCGTGCAGGCTGCTGTGGCTGCACCTGCTGATGTGCGCCTCAACATGTTGTTCCCTGGCACTGCCATGATTAATGAGACAACTTCGCAGTATCCTGGCTCATTAAGCACCTCAGCCACAATAGAGTTCACCCTCGACAGTGGGGCCACTCACACGGTTCTCAAGGAAGAACACTCCTTCAAGCCATACGAGACATCAATCTGTCTACTAGGAGCAGACTCCAGTTTCACAACACACGCCAAGGGCTCCTCCACAGTTCCGTGCCCAGCTTTTCCTTCGGGCAGTGTGACTGGCATGTGTGTTCCCACACTACGCCACAATCTCGTGGCCCAACACGAGCTCCAACGGACAGGCGTGACCACGATCTTCCCAGCACACTCGGATCACTGTGACCTCTTCGACCCTAAGTCCAACAAGCTCCTAGCACGCTTCACACTCAACAGTAGCAAGCTCTACACGCTGCGTTCACCTGCACCTCTCGCCGCTCTCTCCCAAGCGCAAGCTGCCAGCACCACTCCGTGTTCGTGTCGCAGCTTCGCCAACCCAACCATCCTCTACCACCATCGCTTGGGTCACCCCAACTTCCGTACACTTGCCGACATCGCTTCCAAGAAACTTCTTCTTGGCCTCCCGTCGGCGCTTCCTCCACCAACAGACTCACCTGCACCCACCTGCCTGGACTGCACCAAGAGCAAGCTCAAGCAGCAGCCGCACCCTTCCTCCCCATCCGTCGCAGCTGCTCCGCTGGACCTAGTGCACATGGATGTCTGGGGCCCAGCTCCAGTCGCATCCCGAGGCGGTCATCGGTAGTTTCTTACACTAGTCGATGACCACTCGCGGTATGTTTCTGTGCACCTCCTGCATACCAAGGCGGAGGCACCTGATGTCATCATGGCGTGGGTGCGCCAGGCTCAAGTCACATTCGGCACTCCTCTGAAGTGCCTCCATTCGGATGGCGGGGGAGAATTTCGCAATGGCAAACTCGATAACTTCTGTGCGGCCCAAGGGATTCGGCAAACCTTCACGCTCCCCGAAAGCCCGCAGCAGAACGGCATTGCAGAGAGCCGCAACCACAAATCGAAGTGCATAGTGATCTCTTCCAGCTGCTGAGTGACCCTTGCCTCCGGCTGTTTCTCCCACTTGCCATACATGATGTTCTCCACAAATGTGACATCCCGACTGTCAAACAGCACATTCTTTGAGGGCTCCCAGATTAGCCACCCCTTGCTCTCTGCTGCAAGCCCAAAGTGCACACACCACAGTACAGATGCTCCAAGCTTTGTCATGTACGGTTTAGAGACATGCGCCACTGCCATGCATCCGAAACCTCTGAGCATGTCCACTGGAGGCTTCTTTCTAAGCCACCTCTCCAACGGCACCCACATATCTGTCAGAAATAGAGTTGAAATGATTGATTAGGTCTGAGGCGATGTACCGTACCGTCAGCTGGTCACTCTGAACAAGATCTCAGATGAAGAAATGACGAAGTTCGAATGTGCTTGGTGCGAGAGTGGAACACAGGATCCTTGGTGAGGTGAATGACACTCTGGTTGTCACACCACAGGGTGGGCGACTGCTGGGGTTAGCCTAACTCAGCGAGGAGAAAGGAGAGCCAGCGTGCCTCTTGAGCAGCCATTGTGCCCGCGTAGAGCTCGGCCTCGCAGGACGACAGGGAGACTGCAGAGGACCGAGTGGAGCGCCAGCTGATGACTCCGCTACCAAGGGTGAAGCAGTACCCTTGGGAGGAGCGCCTGTCAGTCTGATCATCGGCCCATGAGGAGTCTGTGTATCCCTCGAGCTTGACTGGAGAGGTACCACCGAGGGTGAGGATGTGAGACTTGGTGGCTTGTAGATAGCGCAGGACCCTCTTGGCTGCAGACCAATGCGAGGCAGTGTAGCTTCCAGGGGAGACGTACCGAGAGAGGACGCTAACCGGGTAAGCCAAGTCTGGTCGAGTGCACATTATGGCATACATGAGTGAACCGACTCGCTCAGGGTACGGGTCCTTGCAGGCGTCAGGAAAAGGAACTGGAGGGGCCGTGAGCTGATGCTGTAGTGGGAGTGGAGTGGAGACAGATTTACTGGAGTCCATGTCGAACCACTTGAGAAGGTTGTCGATGTAGGACTCCTGGGAGAGGGTGATCGTGCAAGCCTGGCGGTCAGGAGTGATCTCCATCCCCAGGTAGTTCTTGAGGTCACCAACATCCTTCATGAGAAGGGCGGAGCTGAGAGCAGACTGGACAGCTGCCATGTCGGCTGGATCTCTGGCGGCTAGAATGAAGTCGTCGACGTAGACGAGGATGTAGAAGGGCTCGGAGGAGTGACGAACGAAGAGACTGGAATCTGAGGCAGAGGGATGGAAGTCAAGTGCGAGGAGGACTTCCTTCACCTTGTTGTGCCACTCACGAGGAGCCTGCTTGAGGCCATACACTGGGCGCTTCAGCTTCCACACTGTGTTGGCAGGGTAAGTGCCAGGAAACCCCGGTGGGCGTTCCATGTGAACATCCTCCTTGAGCTGGCCTTGGAGAAAGGCGGAGGAGGCGTCCATGGACTTGATCTCGAAGTTGCCGCGAGCGGCTATATCAAGAAGAGCGCGCACAGTCGGGAGCTTGGCCGTGGGCAAGAATGTTTCGAAGAAGTCGAGATACTCCTTCTGGGTGAAACCCTTTGCCACGTATCGTGCCTTGAACAGTGGAGCTTCGCATGGGAGTTGTTTGACTCGGAAGATCCATTTTTTGCCGACGATGTTGACACCGGAAGGGGGAACAACATCGTCAAAGCTGTTGTTGCGAATGAACGCCTCGTTCTCCACATCCATTGCTGCCTTCCACTCCTTCTTATAAGGCCCCGAGAGAGCTTCCTCTTTTGTGCGAGGAGTCGGAATGGTCGGGTTCTCGGTGAAGTTGAGGGAAGGGCAGTCAGTAATGTCCGAGAAGATGTGAGAGAGAAATTGGCAGACCGCGTGAAGGCCAAACAGCTCCTCATGCCTGTCCTCCAGAAGTGTACGGGGGGGAATACGGATGGAGGGGACATCACCCCCGGCAGGAGGAGGCGGGATGACCCAACACCGGATGGAGAAGGCGGCTGGTCCCCAGGCGAGAGGCGGAGCCGGTCCCTTGGAACGAGTGCGACTAGAGACCGGAGACGAAGGCGGCTGCGGTGGGACCGGAGGGACTGAGCGCCTCCGATAGGAGACTGGTAAGCCGGGCTCGACGCGCGGGGAAGGCAGAGCAGGAGGAGGTGCCGCTGCGGAGGATACTGGGGAGGCCGGGTGAGACACGCCGGACGGAGAAGGCCAAGGAGAAGGGGCAGCGGCCGCAGGTGGGGCATCGAAGTCTGCCCAATCTTTCTCTCTCTCTCTCTCTCTCTCTCTCTCTCTCTCTCTCTCTCTCTCTCTCTCTCACTCTCTCTCTCTCTCTCTCCTCTCTCCGTCTCTCTCTCTCTCTCTCTCTCTCCTCTCTCTCTCTCCCTCTCTCTCCCTCTCTCTCTCTCTCTTTTTTTTTTTTTTTTTTTTTTTTTTTTTCTCTCCTCTCTCTCTCCTCTCTCTCCTCTCTCTCTCTCTCTCTCTCTCTCTCTCCTCTCTCTCTCTCTCTCTCTCTTCTCCTCTCTCTCTCTCTCTCCATCTCTCTCTCTCTCTCCTCTCTTTCTCTCCTCTCTCTCTCTCTCTCTCTCTCTCCTCCCCTCTCCTCCTCCTCTCCCTCTCTCTCTCTCTCCTCTCTCTCTTCTCTCT